GTAGTTTGGAAGTCTTGAAGCCCTAATTATAAAGGGAAAATAAGTAATGAAGTCGATAATCATAGCAAATATAACTTTGCTTTATCGACAATCCCACCAAAGGATGTGATATGGGAAAATATTTGGCATTCCTTGAAATTAACATCTGCCTTAAGATCCAAGGGCACTCGCAAAAACGTGGTTGAGTGGTTAACGTATCGAGCTTACACATTGCACCGTTATGGGTAGATTGAAGCTACTGTCCACTCTGGATGAAAACAACTTTTGGGAAAGCAAGGCTATATGAAATTCAAGGGAAATGTCAGCTCTATCCGTATCATTGTGGGAAAATTCAACTACTAGTCCTTCATCACTTTAAAAGAAATTGGGTTAATACTTGAATGTGTTTGTCTATGACTAATATGAAAGAAGGCTGACCAAAACATTCTACATCTGTCTATCTATAATTATATATTTTCTTTTTTTAGTTATGAGTATATATACGATGTAAGATAAAGCTGGACAGTCTTCTTAATGTAGTATTAACTTAAGACTTTTACAAGAATGGATTGTAACTCTGAGTATATCCGTCATATGAAGGACAAAAACTCAGCCTGGTTTTATCCGAAACAGGGGAAGATGTCTATTGGGCTGCGTTAACATGAACGTCGTATTAAAACCAAACCGCTGTAGAGCAAAGGGAATCGGGTGTCGTATTCCAGTGAGATGAATCAACGAATTTCTTCATCATTCAATCTCATACGGAATGAAAGTCTCCCTAGCATTTTATCAGATTCGTCAAAAACCCAGCTACTATACTGATCTAGATTTTATATTCATAATAGGTAGGTCTCGAGACTTCCAATAAATGGAACGTTATTATGGATTATCCTTGCTAAAGGTATGCGAATACAAAGGGCAATCTCAACTTAACAAAGAACGAAATAATTCTATATAGAAAATTAAGCATGACTGTTAGCGCATCATTGATGAAAAATGAAATAATTGTTTCAAAGCATAAACTTGAAAGTTTGAGAAGTTTGAGAAGTTTAACACACAATTGGTTAAAGGATCGACTTCACGTGCTCCTTGACGAGTTGTAGTGTGGCGCTAAAAATGCCAAAGCTCACTGACGATGCCGACTACGATACTGGTGAAATGACTGGGAATATACAAAGTCCACGGTACGACTCAGAAAATAAGCACGGGTACTATGGACTCCGGGACATGGTGGATTCCTATAGGTTTATCTGACAATACGACCAAGTTGCGAAAACAAGGTCAAACAACTTTCATACAGCGAAATGAGACCACGACCATACTAAAGAACACAATATCTTGTGTTTGATACCTTATTTTAATATTTAAAGTACATAAGTTACTTTTAAGTTATCTGTCTATTGTTCCTCAGTCTCTCCGTCCAGCTAATACTACTGTTAGAAATCCATCTAATTGGATCTATTTGCATGATGGCATCAATTTACCCATTCATCCATTTAACCATAAGCGATTTTTACAACACTAGATTTTTGAGTGGATATTCTGAAGAGGCGTGGCCAGGTTAGTCCAATATCACTCAACTACTTAATGCCAAAACTATCAAAAAACTTCGTTCAACTATGAGGGTGCACCAAGAATCCGGCGAGACTAGTGGGGCCAGAGGCAGACAAAAGTCCTGTGAAGAACAACACTCAAGGTACACTCTTCGAGGACGCCTTGCAAGCCTAGGCAAAATGAGAAAAGGGGGACAGACAAACCCTTAAAAAGGTAAAAATACATCAGAGATGAACTCTTCCAGACGAACAGTATGAATTATTCAGTCAGGATGAAAAAACAGTTGGTTGGGAGGAAAAAATTCATCGGCATTGGGAGCATAGAACAAAGAAAAATATCAGTAAAACTGTGAGATTTAATTATACTATTCGGAGGAAAATATATGAAAAATCTGTGTGAAGCAGACAGAAGTTTATAAGGCAAATTAGCTACGTTACCAGCAATTTGTTTGAAAGAGGTAAATTGTATCACGTTTATTCATAAGCAGTTAATAAATATTGAGAAAAATTGCCTGTGAGGAGCGAATAGCAGTAAAATATTCAGAATAAATAATAAAGACGAATAGCTGATTTGAAACAATAGAAATGATTTTCTTGACCTTATAATCAATCTAGATAAAATGTCAAAATAAATGGGTTCTCGGCAGTATTAATAAAGGAATCCCATTGCGAATAACGCAGACAACGTTTCTCATCTGTCAGAATAGAAGAGATAAGCAAACACTGATAATGGTGCTTATTGAAGACTATGGCGAGGAAAATAAAATTCAGGGACACTTTTTCAGAACTGACACATTTACAGTGAATTGCGGGCAATCACCTCGACAAGTGTTTTTTATCTCAGATCTTTATCGGTACCTGAGTCACCTTAGGAGACATAAGGTGATGTAACCAGGTGATATTTGCTTTTAATAGCAAGACATTACTTTCTTGAAATTCACGTCTGGCCTACGACCCAGGGTCACTAGCGGAAGCGTGGCGTAGTGGTAACATGTGATGATTATACACTGCACTACCAAGGCTCGAGTCTCGCTAAGGGTGCTGATGGACCCAGGCGAGGTAGAAATGCAGTTCACTCTGGATTAAAATACCTTTTGGGAAGCAAGGTTAAATAAAATTCAATGGAACCATGAGGCCTATTGATAACATTATGGGACATTTCAACTAGCAGCCTCTTATCATCCTATGCGACCTAGGGTGGCTGAAAATTTTATTCAAAAGTAGTGGAAAGCTTAACGAAGCCACTGAATTCTACCTAGTCTTGCCCCACAGAAGGCTTTCTCATACCAGATGGAAAGCAGTTCGACCTCACTCAAGCCTCAGCAGAACTTCCATTGGGATTCAAAACAAGATTGTGTGCATAAAGTGAACACATTAATGCTTAGCCAAACAGCCACATGTGCTGAATGAGCTGTAGGACAGAGGTGACTTTTAAGACAAGCCAGGACTGATCCAAAGCACATTTAGTCAGATTCTGATGGTGATTTTAAAAATATTGTGTTTCGAAGCCTACCCTTTTGGCAAATAGTAATATCGCCGATTGTTCTGCCTTGTCGACAACAGCCTCACTAGCAAAATGAGAAGTTGAAGAGGCTTGCTTTTAAGGCTATTTCCTATTAAGACTCGCTGGCACCAGGAATGTGGTGCTGAGTTCTAATTTGTTATCACCTGATGCCTACGAATAAAGTCAGGATTCCGTTAGAAGTAAATGATGGGAGTGACGCGAGATCACACGATTCCACTCCCAAGTGGCTATAAAATTTGGGCCAATGGCGCCAAATCTCAGTCTTAAGTATCCGCTATGGAAACCTAGAGATCTGGTCCATCCTTATCTTCGCATGAAGCTGCCAAATAGCAAAACAATACGACCACTTTGCCACCTCGACAATTTCGTTTAATTGCCATTATACTCCGTGACCAGAGAGTTACTTAAGAGACGTTCTACAATATGATAATAAAACGGTCACATGAAGGCCAAATTGCTACGGTCTTAATCTGAAAGACGATATCGACGCATGGGCTGGCCGGTGGTGGAGGAACAATTGCTTTTGTTGGTCATTACTGAAATAACTTTTCTCACACGTCACTATGATTCCCATAGAAGACCATTTTCAATCATCCAAAGGAGCGACTTCAGGGTCAGGACCCTCCCATTTCTAAAGCCCCTGCCAAACTGCCAGACGGTACGGTAGAAATTCATAGTTGTCTGTATTTCTATACTTTTTCAGGAAAACGTGCGAGGCTAAAGTCATATTGTCCAACAAGAGAAAGGGAACTAGGCTCGATAGGGTCCGAAATGCGTTTCTCAGCATGATTAAAAAGTAACAAGGGCTTTTCCAGGAAGTCTGGCTCCAGCTTTAATTGTTTGTACAGACTTTCCCCATTGATGAAGAGTAAGACTGTCACTCAAGGCCATCACAACCTAATTACCATATTTACTATAAGAATGGTATTCACTACATTTCGTTCAAGAGGAAGGACTAGTAATTAGATTTTCCCACAATACTATGAAAAGGCCTTATGTTTCCATTGAATCTCAAATAACAATGGTTCCCAGGTGTTCTCATCCAGGGTGGATAGAGGTTTCGACCTCGCCTAAGTTTCAACAGCACCCCCAGCAAAACTCGAATCATGATAATGCAGCGTGTAATCGCCTAACGTTAACCACTACGTCACACTGCCCCTAGTGCCCTTGGGCCACAGAGCAGACGTACATTTCACGGAAATCCAGGCCTTTCCTACATCACTTTAGGTGGTGGGAGCAACAGGGAAGCAGCGGCTATGGCAAACGACTGCATTACTTATTTCCCGTTAATAAGTATGTTGTCATAACTACCAGTAGAGTTGTATTCACTCTATATGGTTTAAGGTGGTGAAGAAATTGGCAATTGAATTTTACCACTGAGGGTAAGGTCGAAACTACAGTCCATCCTGGATGATAATGCCCTTTTGGAAAGCAAGGATATGTGAAATTCAACGAAAAAATAAGGCCCACTTATTTAACCAGCAGTTCTTTATGACCTTAAATCGAATATATTGAATAGAGAAAATGCCATTGAGACTTTTGGACCGATGAAAACGATGCAATTCTAAGCTTTAGATGAAAATTCGTCAAAGCTTTGAAGAGATGCACAGTAAAAGCCTGAATGAGTATAAATATCCGGGGTTGAGATCTTGTTAAGGGTGCTAATGAGACTTAGGTGAGGTAGACATTTCAGTCCATCCTGGATGAGAATACCTTTTAAGAAGTAAGGCCAAATGAAAATCAATCGAAATATAAGGGCTATTGGTGTTATTGTGTAGAAATTAAAACATAGGTGACTGGAACTATTAGTCAATATTTACTGACGGATTAGAAACCTACTTTGTATGAATAGAAGAAGAGTTTTCTCTCGAACAGAACAGTACGTCCACAAATATGTGTACTGCTAAAAGTCTACCCAGCATAAGTATGATTTTTCGCTAATGCTATAAAGGCTGAGTATTAACAAGTCGATGATGCAGATCACGGATATCCATTCTGAATGTTTTGAAGATGAATGGTCCTACGAGTAAAAGTGCACAGGCCAGAAGATGTCTTACCAGGTCATCGACGTGACCGTTGACCACCTCCAGACGGGGCTGTTTGCTCAGCGTGGAGGTATCTTTGAAAAAAGGGCCACAAGGTACGGAAAAAAGAGGAGCCGTCGGCTCACTAGAGCCGACCAGGCCTGCAGCAGTAGAGAACACGAGGGAGATAAACGGAGACTCTGTGAAACCGCTGTCTCGCGTGGCCGGACTGGCCGTTGTCGCCGTGACTGCCCAGAAGCCATCAACGCTACTGCCGACTTGTGATTGTTGCAGGAAGCCGAGTGAGGCTGGAAAGAGATTGGAGTCGGCGGCAAGGCCCTCTTTGTGGCCGGTCAGGATGGAGCCTATTTGCCGGTCGGGCGAATGTGGGCAATCACTGCGGGCAACGGAGTCCTGACAAACGGGAGCCGGCGATGCCAGAGCGCCCGGTTTCTGGATCGGCGTCGGACGACTCAACGTGGCGACTTGATTGTTGGGTCCCACGATTCCGGCCACTTCGGACAGCAACGGACTCACCGGCAGATCGTAGGCGTCATCGCCGGCCTGGTTCTCTGCGCACAGCAACTCGGCGCAGACTGACGGCGGCCCGGCGTTCAGCGAAAGGCACGAGGGGCTGGTGAGAAGATGGTCGTCAGCCCCGAGGACACAAGTCTCCCCACCGTCCACAGCCAACGTCGAGGCTGGCAAGGAGGTCAGCCTCAGGGGATGGTGAATGTTGGCCGAGTTGAGCGGAAGAGCAGTTGGCATCGCGACAGACTGCTGCTGCCAGACGCCAGGAAGCCGGAGGTGGCCAGTCAGGCCGGCAGTCAAGTACTGGCCGAGCGTCAGAGGTGCCGGCTGTCCAACACCAACAGACGGGGAGGAGAGGAAGTGAGGCTTCTGTTGGGCGTCATAGTGCCCCTGCTGAAGAGGGGGTTGCAGTTGCCTCTGCTGCCAGTAGCAGAGAAGGTGTGCGGGTATCTGTGGCGAGGGTCGGAGGAGATCGCGGCTGCCGGAAGCCGACGGCGGCCAGACAAACGAAGAGGGCAGCATCGTCAGGGAGCCGCCGACCTCGGGCAAGGCCGCGGGTTGGGATGCTTGGGCCAGAGAAATCGGTACTGGCTGGTCGGCCAGGAGGCTGAGGCATCGGCGCAGAGTCTGTTGATGATGATGAGGCTGTCTGTGTTGCGCCAAGCCGTCCAACTGCTGTTGGTCATGGCCTACAGGCAGCATGGCCACTCCAAACTTGCCGACGGGCTCTATGAGTCCCGTGGATCGACTGTAGAGGCAGGCGGCAGAAAGACCGGCGAGGCCGTCCTGAGGGGCCAGGTCACCTAGGTAGCCGAGTCCCATTGAGGAGACAGGGCCGGTGGAACCGATTTCAGCTGGAAGTCTCGTGGTAGAGACTGGCCAACTGCTCAGATCCAAGCCGGGATCACGAGTATGGCGTCGCGACAGCCCGGCGGCCCAGCCGCCGCCATGTGCCTCGAAGAAACTGGCCGGTGGACTGTTGAGCTCGAAAACCGGATTGGCTCGTGTGACCAAGTGAAAGGCCTGGGAGCCGAATGACTGGTCCGAACTGTTCGACAGACGGGGATGCTGGTTAAATGGAGAAAAGCGAATGTGTATCAAAAGTTGTCATCTATGCTGGATATCGTTTAAAGCAAGAAAGTTCCCTACGCTACCAATGCAGCTAATAGCCAGAATGCAAGCCAAGCACCATGACTAATGCTGTCAGCACTAACAATACTAGTTTTAGAGTAAGAATTGCAATCATCCAAGATCGCATAAGACGAGGAGGGACCGGTATTTGAATTTTCCCACAATGGTATATGGCCTCACGTTTCGAATGCATTTCGCATAGCCTTGCTTTCAAAAAAGTATCCTAGTTCCGTTCAGTATCAGAAACGCCTCCAAATAAAAATCCGACCCAATACGTTACCACCACGCCACATATGCCGATAATCTCGAAAGCTACTTTATTCGAAAATATGTAACGTAGTCGATTGTAATGGCAAAATGCAATCCCACTATAAATGCGACTTTGGAGGGAGACGATCATCCTGAAAGTTCACACCTCTGTTGAGATTATATGCTTAACTCCCGGGTCTGAGTCCCGTTTGGGATACTGATGAAACAAAAGTGAGCTAGAAACCACAGTCCACTCTGAATGAGAATACCTGTTGTGAAGCAAAGTTATGTGAAATTCAATGTAAACGTGAGGTTAGGAAAATTCATCTATCACTTCTTTATCACCTGATAGGACTTAGGGTTATTAAAGTTCTTTTTCAAGACCTAATCGTAGCTTCAAAACCTAAAGACTATGAATGCTAGCTTGTGTTGTAAGAATATATCAGTTTAGGCTGTTTCTTTTTTGGATTTACGACTTAGGCCAAGATGAAATGAAGACAAGACCAGATTTTTTACATTCAGGCTCAACAGAATTTTGGATCTCACCTCACTTACACATCAGACGCTACAGTGGTGCTCGAACAGTGATCACCTTTGTAATCACACAATCCTTTCTCAACTTACATCTTTTTGTGATGAATATCAAATCGGATACACTGCTGATTTTGTAATTAGTAGCAGTTCGTTTCATCTTTAATGGTGGACTAATCAAAATTTGTACATCTAAACAAGGTGTTACTGAGATTAAAAAATAGTGGTAACCAATGCATTTGTTTAATCTAGCATTATTATACATATAGGAATTAATAACTATCTAGAAAGCAGGGCTGCTAGCAACCGTATCTGCCTGTAAGACAGCGCGGATGAATGTGGAGTATGAGACTGAAAAAGTCAAGAGAAGATGCATGAACTAGGTGAATAGCAACACCCAGGTCGTCATGCTGTGCATCCCTCTCACAATCGTATCATCCTTAGCGCTACTACTTAACCGATACATGATGATGTGTGCGAGCTAATAGCAGGAAGATACAAACAATATAATGTGCCATGACAGTAAACTCGGGTTGTGTTTACGGCCGGATGTATGTACTTATTGCTGTTGCTTGATAGGATAGTATCCAGACGTGCCAATTTCAAGCGTCAAGTAAATACAGACAAGGCCTTCAAACTGGCATCACAATAGACGTTAAACAGTCTATCAGCATGTACATTTAAAAGCCGGAAACGAAAGTCTCAATACAAAAAAAAGGAGATATTTAACACGAATGCCCCAAAGCTCTACACAGTAAAACTAAGAATTTTGCTGATTAGAATAGGATAGCAGAGATGGTTTAAAGCATGCATTGCATACAACAAATTGTAAACCTTCAATAGTGGCAATGTCAAAAAACAGCTCACCCCTACAGAATTAACGTATAACTTTCGCACATAATTCAAGGCTCTAGCCAAGTGAACTTACGCCGGCTTCTGTTGCGCCCTCTGGCCTAAAACTTAAGAAAACAGCCGCTTCAAATATATAATTAAAGAAAGTCAACAAAATTAAATGTCGCGTATAAATCCTGTAGGCACTTGCTTGATGGATTGACTCAGGATTCTTAAGGACTCAGAGGTGGAAAGGG